ATTGAGGAAAGTATTGATATGATTATCAGTATGATTACAGTTACAAAAGTGCAGATAAAATAAATTCAATCTGGAAGTAATGGTGTATTCTACTTATTTTATTCCTTCCCTCCCCTCATCTTCCCTCCATGCCTTTTCTCTTTTTTTCCTAAAAACTTGATCTGTGATGCCCAGAAAGGCTAGGTGCAAGGTTCTTATATTCTAATCATCAATCAAACTTTATTTTCTATGACCACAAGAGAGGGTGTAGAGGAAATAAAAGACAAGTTGATTTTAAAAGAGCCAATTGGAGTTGTATGGAGTGGATGAGCTGACAAGTAGTGAGATTCCAACCCTGAAGGTGCCTATGCACAGGTTATGTCTCGGGGATGTTGAGAATGAGCTTTGCTGGTGCAGTCTGACCAGGGTCTGCATCCCAGTGATGTAGAACTGGTCTATATCTTCCTTCCAGAGTGCAGAAACTCAGCAGACCAGTGCCATGTTTTGAGCAGGTTCTCCTGCCAAGGGCCAATTTTGCTGCACTAGACAAGGCTCATGGCCTTAGTGAGAGCTCAGTTTTCTTGGGAGCTTGTCTGGAGCTCACTCCAGCAGTGGCACCTGCTTATGTTCGTCTTTCTATCTGACCATTTATTTTCCCTGGACTTTTGTCCTATCAGGACCCCGCTGCCAGTCAGAATCTACTCATTTTCCAACCTGGAGAGCCTGAAGAGAGACAGGAAAGGAGAGGGAAAGAGACAGAGATTCCTCCATGCTGAGTATGTGTGGAGTTCCAACTCAGCCTTCTCATAGAATCAGGGGAGAGGACCTGGGCCAGGCCAGAGCCATCTTTGTCCCAGCAGTATTATGGCCTCGAATGTCCTGCTGATGCCTGTTGTTGAGCAGGCTTCCCACTTCCTAGCAAATAGACAAACACTGAACCTCCTCCAGGTCACTTTGCCTTTTGCATGGTCCTGAGGCTTACTTTGCAGACAGTTGAGGATCCCTCAGTCTAATGCAGGGGAGGACTCCTGAGACCCAAACTTGGAACCACTTTGTTGCTGAGCAGCCTTGAAACTGGCTGAGAGGATCTCATAGGCAGTGAGAAGAAAGGCATGCATTTGCTCTCTGAGATTTCCTGGCCAGTTCCAACACTGTCAGTTTCTGATCCCAACTAGAATATCATCCCCATCATTGTTCCCCTTAATGAAAGCCCCTGGCCTGTGCTGGCTCTCCCTTGTGCTCTGGAAGGGTGAGTACCTCTCCAAAGCACCTGGAAACCCTTCTCTCCCAGCCCCTGTGGCTCTGATGGAGTTAGGAATACTGGAAGAGAGCAGAGAGCAGCTGGGATTTCAAAGCCTCACTCAACAGGTACTCCCCAGTACCCACTGGTGAAGAGTCAGGCTCTGTGCTGGAGTCACAGAAGAAGGAAGTCTTGGCTCTGGCTGGAGCTCCCTCCAGATCTGCTGCAAAGATAGCCAGGAACCATGGCGAGAACTCTGTGGGTTATGGGTTTCAGTTGTGACTCAAAGTGGCATACAAGTGGCTTCTAATTGTGCTCTATCACTCACTGGTGGTTGGAGCTGAGATAAGTACATACATCACCCCAAGCCTCAGTTTCTCATTTGTATCATGAGCGTAGCAATGTCAACCTGGTTTGTCTGCTGTGAGGAGGAAATATAAATAAGAAAATGAGGATTGGGAATATGAAAGTTAGTCTTCACCTCAGGACAGCACAGTCAGTAGCCATCTGTGGACTTAGAAAGTGTCTGTGCTCGAAAACCCACCTGATGATCTGACCAAGTAGGACACAGCAAAATACCATACAAGAATAAGATATGCTCATAGCTCTGCAGCCCAGGCACAGTGCTGGCAATCTGAAGTATCATCTCAGTTAAAATGAGTGTCCTATCAGACAGGAAGTAGACTGCTCAAGCCCACCCAAATGGGAGTGTCAGCTCACTGGTCAGACCCTATCTACCTCTCCCTGTATCCTCTCCACCCTCAAAATTGAGCCCAGGGAAATCTGGGGCACACAGAATTGATTCAGAGGCTCCCTGCTGCTGGCCTCAAGTCTGCCTCACATCGACACAACCCAAGAAATTTCTGCTAGAAGAGACTGTGAGGCCACAGTCACCAGGTTTGCCTTAAAGACTTCATCAGAAGCCCACAGTGGCACAGCCACAGGGAGTATGCAAAATGCCATGTATCTGAGGAAAAAGGAGAAAAAATAACAGATTTTTCACAAGTAAACTAGGAAATCCCAGCATTGAGGTCTCTATGTGTTTCTGAAGCATAATGGCTTCATAAAATGTTTCTATTTCTGTCCAGTAGTTTGCTCATGAAACTTCTACTGTCACTTGCCACTTTGCTCCCAAGGTTTTCTCTACAACTTTTGTTAAATTTTCATTCTTTCAATGTCAATGCAGAGAAAAATCAGAGTATTTATATTAGCAGTGTCAAAGTCTTATAAATGACCACACACACACACACACACACACACACACACACACACACACACTCTCACTCACTCACACTCATGTTCTTCTTTAAAAACACTAATTACTTGCCTTCCCTGGATAGTACCTGCTTGCCCTGGGGCCCCTCTGTGCCAGTCTTGTCAGGGAAGGTTAGTGACTGATGGGGTCTGAGTCAGAATCTCCACCTCCATTTTTTTGTAGCAATTTACATCACCAACTCCCCTGCCTTGTTGCTTGCTATATAGCCATCTTCACTTTTCCCTGATTGTATTTGGAATTGAGTTCAATATCTGCTCCCCATTGAGCATCTCCATCGCAGAATTCCTGTACTTTCCATGATAGTTCTGAATAAGGTCTGCCTTACTAATTAAACAAGTATCAGAGTATTTTTTCTTAGCACAAAGACAGCTTGGGGTGAAGCAGTAGAGAATTCTAGACAGTAGATGATTTAAAAGAAATTGTCACTTGAAATAGAGAATCAAAATATATTTCAAAATTTGCTTTAGTTGTAATGATAGCCTGGCTTTTCTGTGCTATTCACACAGACCAATGTTTAATTTTTTATGTTTTCTGAATGTTAAGCAACAAAAAAAGGGACACAAAGCAAGGCATATCTACCCAACATGCAAAGAATTGTCCAATGGAATTTTCTCAGTGGGGAGTAGTATACTCTCAAACAAGTACAATGACTTTCATTTTATGGATGTAGATTTTAAGGGAGGTCAAGCACCTTCCCAACCTACCACCTACCAATACAATGCTAGATTATGACTGCTGGGAAGCCAGTTCTTTTTCTGCTCTGTGTGAGTCTAGTGATGATGGTGACTGTGATTGAAGTCATGATCTGGCCATGGGTACCTACCCACCTTGGAGAAGTATTCACCCAGTCAATACTGTAAGAGAACAGATTACACTCCATCTGTACTTATGGCTCCAGGGAAAGTTTGATGCTACACTCCATCTTAAAGGCATCATCTCCCTCTGTGAAACTTGGTAGCACCAAGGCCAAGAACCAGACACTGTACTGGATGCTATACATGTAGAATCCAGCAGAGGCAAGGTAAAATTGTGATTGAGAACCCTGTGGTTAGCCTGACGGCCCCAACTTCGTGTTTCCTCAGACTGCCTCTCCATCCTGCTTGCCTGCAGGGAAGAAGGTACATGGTCTCTTTTGGCCAGAAGATCTCTTTTCTATGGAAAATCATTAACAAATACAACTCAGTAGCTTTCTTACCTTTCATGTCATACAACCTCAATTCCTCATCTGCAAACTGGAGGTTTAAATCCTGTTCCATGAAACTGTCAAAGAGAAATGAAATAAATTATGTCAAGTTCCTGGCACATACTTGTTGCCCAATGAATTAAGTTCTTTGACCTAATATTTTAATTTTCTTTACTTGGGATTTCAGTATCCATGTCTGTTTGCTTAGTCTTCTAACCTAAAAGGCAGTGAGCAGGTCACTATCCTTTCTAGGATGATAGCAGGCAGTCAGTCTGCTTCAAGATGCATTTTATGGACAACTCAAAGCTTATAAAAGCTAAAGTGTTATTTTAGTGAATAGAAATGGTTTTATTTATGAAGTTTTTCTATAGATTTCACGAGCAAGCCTACTATACAAATGGATAAAGGAGGATGTCCAAGGGCTTTCTGATTGCTTTTCCCCTTGACCTAACTCAGTCATCTTGTCTCCCATTCTGATTTGAATACCATAAATGGTGCAGCAGGGGACACCACCTTGTTATTTAAACTCCAGGCTGGTGTTCCTTCAGTAAGCCTGTGGACAACAGTGTGTGTTATGTGTGTGTAACTGTGTTTTCTAACAAGAGCAGAAAGCAAGTTCTAGACAGAGAACTGTGGGAACTGGTAGAAATTTCCCTTGGTCTTCTTGCTCCAAGATAACAGAGGATATTATCTATTCCCAGAATCCTCAGTCTAAAGAATCATTCATCAAAATTTCTACCCAAGACTCTTGGAAATATTCCTGAAGACAGCGTCATATTGTTTAGTTTAGTATGGGTGAGGATATTGAACTCATTCGGAAGGCCTCACTTGGGATTACTCTTGTTCTTAGTATTAAGACAATGTTAATACATTTACTTGTAAGCTTCCTAGAATAGTGACCAGGGAAAGGGGTTACTTTACAAAGTTAAGTGTTTAGTCCTACTGTGCACAAGGTATTTTTTAGGAGTTGAAAATTTCTAGCATAATTTTTACTATATCGATTCATGGGGTTTGCAAAATAAGATAAACAATATGGAAAAATATCAGGTATATCATATTAATAATAAATTTTATTAGAATAAAAGAAAACTGTAAGTAATTGAAATTTTGCCACATCAGAGAAGAAAACCTGGTTTATTTTGCATTTTGAAAGGTCACGAGTGAGATCATAGCCAAAGTCCAAGTACACCTCAGAAGCATCTTGGATAGCTGCAACACCTCAACCTGCCAGGCCTCTACCACCATGCCCAGGCCAGCAAAAAAAATGCATCTGGGAAGGGGAGGGGGCAGAGAAACATCTGTTCTCACCACAGAGACTGGTATCATAGCTCCTTCAAGTACTGCAGTGCTGGCTCCAACCAAAGACTTTCTCCAGAACAGAATCTTCTCCTTGCAAAGCCTGGTTGATTTTCTGAGGGCTCAGTGACAGGTTGTAAATGAGACTGTAGTTGTAAATGAGGCATCTGGCTCTTTCCTTCTCCAGATTTCCTGTGATTGCATAGAATGGGTAGAAGGATTTTTAGAGAGGAAAGAGGAGAGCCGAGAAAAATACATCTTAGCTTGAATGACTTCTAGGTAGACACTAAATACTAATATTGTGAAACTTCAAGACTTTAAAAACCAAGTGACATCTTCAAAATATTTGTGACCCTAAATATATGTCATAGATTTCAGGAATGCCTTTAAGGTGATTTGATGAGAAACAAGAGGAGATAAAGTTTAACAAAATCTGTTGATAAGTTCTAAAACAATTTTATCTTGGGTTTTTTGTTTGTTGGTTTGTTGATTGGAATTTTTATTGGTTTGATTGTTTTGTTATCGTATAACTTTTAAAGCCAAATTTAAAAAGAGGTGAAGTACATGCTAAAAATAATTTCTGAATATTCTAGCTTATTTTTATCTTTCTAAACTACCCAAATATGTTCCTGAACACTCAGAGTTTGAATAGCTCATTTAAATTTATTTTTGGACATTTATTTACTGTGACTCTCTAGCTTGTTCTGTGACTCACAAATTTAAGCATCTGAACCTGTGTAACAAGGCAAGTAATATAGATCTGGTACCAGTGTGTTTCTATGCCAGTGCCAAAATGTTTATGTCAGTATTCTTTCTGCACTTCCGATAGTTGTCAAACGGGTTTAAGTACAGATCACAGCACCGTTAAAGATCAGTAATCCATGCCTGATCTCCTACTTGTGTGCTTACACATGTGTGAATGTAGAGAATTTAGAGAAGTGTGCTGTTACCTCAGGAAGCTTCCCTGACCCCCACTGGGAAGACAACTCATGCAGAAAACTGACTAGAGTGTAATAATAACAATAGTGATTGATACAATTTAATATGTGCCAAGCATTGTTGCAGATTTCTTGCCAGTATTAACTCAGTTAATTAATCCTCACCCTAACCCATTTCATTCCAGGCCTGGGTTTCTCAGTCACTTGTCCAAGATAGTATAAGATAAACCCCTGCACTGTGTCCTGGAAAGAGCGGGAAGAGAGCACCTCAAATCCAGTCATGTTTCCTGTTTCCTTGATTTATGATAATCTATTTCACAGATGCCAGGGAAACACCTTTGATAACACATATAGAAATGAAATAAATGTGTAGGCATTTTTCCTTCTCCTTCCTTCCTCTAAAAATGTAACCACGAGCTTCGGGAATGTGATTGTAACTGGAAGACTTTAACAAAGTTGCATTAACAACTTAAAATACAGATAATCATATTTGTGAAAATCAATAAGTGAAAAGGTATTCAGTATTATGCCTAGTAGCACTAGGCATTCATAAATGCCAAGTATTATTATTGGGTTATGATAAGGGCATGGTTATTATTTAAAGTTCATAAGGACGTTTTTTAATATAAAGAAATGATTAACATATATAGCACTTAATTTATGTTTTAATTAAAAATGATGAGTAATGTTAAAAAGTCCACCTAGGGATCCTCTGTCTTCCAAGCTTTGCCACTGTAGTGGCTTCTTAATGCACCTGCCCCAGCCAGAGCTGAAATGAAAGAAATAAAATGAAGCTCTTTGACATCATTTTATTTTAATATATTCAAAGAATTTTAAAATTTGGCCCTTCCTCACATCTGGGGGGGGTCTGTTTTATTATTATTAATTTTCATTTCTAGTTGAGGAAACAAACTCAAAGACCTTTAGTGACAAGTTTCAACAGAGAGTCTGGACTTGAATATAAATCTTCTGATTTAAAAAACAAAAAACCCTTCATGTTCTACTTAAGAAAGTCTTGAGAGCTGACTGTGTAGGAAAGCAAATAGATCTGGATTTGAATTATGGCTCAACTTGCTCCTGCAGATGACTTTATTTTTGGGCTTGAGCTATCATTGGAGACAAGTGTGCTAACTTTGCAGTACATGATGATTGTGAGATTTCAGTAAGAAGTGGATACTGGGGCTGGGGATTTAGCTCAGCGGCATAAGCGCCTGCCTTGCAAGCAGGCAGTCGTGAGTTCAATCCCTGGTACCGATAAAAAAAAAAAAAAAAAAAAAAGAAGTGGATGCTGAGTGCAGGCCCTGCAGATGATGTTCTGTAAGGCATTTGCCTCCTAGGTAGTATTTTCTACCTAGTTTTTGGTTTAATGGGTGAATTCCAAGTGCAGCATTTGCTCAGACATTTGTCCCAACTACTCTCCTTTCTTTAAAACACATGCCTGGTTGTTCAGTCATTCCTCACCCCTCCCACTCAAGGCTACTTTCTCAAAAGCCCTCATTAGAAAGTAAGCTCGCTCCCCATTCCCGGCTTCACTTGGAGACCTGCTGAGCTCCCCATAGGTGGGCTGGCCCACACTACCAGCCTAGCCCAGCCTGTTTAGCTGCCGCGCCTGGCCATAGGCCTGCAGAGGAGGAGCTGGGCAGATCTGGGGTGCCCTCACTGGCCTCTCTGCGTGTCTGGAGGACTCTGGATATCTGCACCCAGACTGCTGGAGTTCCCTCAGGCTTCCAGGTACAGTGAAGGAGAGAGGTGGGTTTGAGGCTTCCACATCAGCCTCCCCATTCCGGCTTCATTTGGAGACCTGCTGAGCTCCCGATAGGTGGGCTGGCCCACACTACCAGCCTAGCCCAGCCTGTTTAGCTGCCGCGCCTGGCCATTGGTCTGCAGAGGAGGAGCTGGGCAGATTTGGGGTGCCTGCATCGGCCTCTCCATGTGTCTGGAGGACTGTGGATATCTCTGCAACCAGGGAGGGTCCACAGGTTCCTGAAGCACTGCGGCCTGTGGTGAGTACCCTAACCCGGCTGCGATTGAAGAACTGTGGAGCTTCCAAGGGGCAGGTGGGCGCACAGTGTCCCTGAGGCCCAGCTTGTCTGGAACTGTGGAGTTCTGAGCAGGCAGAGGAGGGCCACTGGTTCTGTAGGCCTAATGGCTTGGGGTAGCGCGGCGCCAGAGTCTCAGTAGCTCCAAACATAGAAGGGGATTTTCAACAGATCCTGAGGAAGCTTTCAAATAACACTTGAAACACAGAAATATAGGAAAATGACAAAACGAAAGACCAAATTACAACCTCAAACCTCCAGCCCATCTCAAGAAACCCTAGGAGCGATGTATATAGAAGAAAATATATCCCATCCACCTCATATATCAGACACAATAGCCACTGAAATTGACAAGCAACTCCAGGAAGCTTTAAAGAAATTCAAACTCGAAATAATCTCCCAGATAAAAGAAGAAATGATAAAAGAAATGAAAGAGATTCTAAATATATCTAAAGAAAACACAGATAAAAAATTGGAGGAACTAAACAAAAAGATAGAATCCCTAGACGAGCAATATAAGAAACAAACAGAATACATAATGCAGATGCACAGAGATATACAGGAAATAAAAAACTCCACTGAAAGTTGTAAAAACTGCCTTAATGAAAGTGAAGATAGAATTTCAGACCTTGAAGACAGGATTGCAGCTAGTGAACAGGAAAGGAAAGATCTTTTGAAAATAACAAGGAACCAGGAAACAACAATTCAACAACTGCAAGACGATGCAAAGAAGAATAACATAAGAATGATAGGGATTAATGAAAGAGAGGGAGACAACATGAAGGATGTCAGGAGGATATTTAGAGAAGTAATAGCTGAAAATTTCCCAAGCATGAGATCAGAAACTGATATCAGGATCAGTGAAGCATATAGAACTCCAAACAGTCATAACCAAAATAAAACTACACCCAGACATATAATAATCACCATCCCAGAAATCCAACACAAGAATAGATTATTAAAAGCTGTCAGAGAGAAAAGACTGATCACTTATAAAGGAAAACCTATCAGAATCACAGCAGACTTCTCAGCACAAACGATAAAGTCAAGAAGAGCATGGAGTGAAGTATTTCAGATCCTAAAGCAAAATGATTTCCAACCAAGACTGATATATCCTGCAAAACTATCATTCAAAATAGATGGTGCAATACGATACTTCCATGACAAAGAACAGCTGAAGAACTTCATGAACACCAAACCAACCCTGCAAAAAATATTGAAAGACAGTTTAGATACACAAAGGAAAAAACCACTAAGCAAAGCAAATAATTAAACAGAACCGAAAGATAAAGATGCAACAGCAGAGAGATAACATTCCTACAATTAACCAGCATTTAACAGTAATAACCATTAATGTAAATGGTCTCAATGCACCAATCAAAAGAAACAGACTAGCAGAATGGATCAAGAAAGAAAGTAAGCTCAGCAGGTTCCCAGAAACACTGATTTGATGATGGAGTCTTCCTTTGCTCTGGATGAACACCACCCTGGCCTACATATTTTCTTGCACATAATAAAGAGTAGTGATTCATCTGCAGGCGGGTATGAGTCCTCTACTCTACATCTAGAAAGGGGTCTTAAACCAACAGATTGACTCAGTTAATCACTCTTCCTCATTAACAACAGCGGTGGATGTTCCCAGATCTGGCTAACAAATTCCTTGGCTGTTGATGAATTAAGGGATTTCATGGAAACAGAGAAAACAGGCATAAATAGTGAAGAGGCCATGAGAAAAGTATTTCAGATCTTGTTGGAATCTGGCTCCAAAGTCAACAAAACTGTTTTTCCTCAGAACCATTCAGTTCCTATGAGAAAGATCACAATCTTTGGGGAATCTCTTAGCAACTAACTTTATGATTCATCACCCATTATTACAACTCAGTATTTGTTTCTCAGGAATGTGTTTTTTCTCCACTCAGCTTTTTTTAGTTTTATTTTACTTTGTACTTCATTGCTACTCTAACAGCCCTGGTATGATACGGAGATTCAGGGTTACTTAGATAAACTTTAAATCTCCTGTGCTCCAGAATCTCCCCTAAACATTCCTCTTAATTTTGTTATGGTTTCCTTTGATTGAGTCTTTGGTGGGCTCTGGGTAAAGGAGCTTGCTCCTAGCCCTGGGAATTCACTGTAGGGTCTGTGCCCATACCATAACTACCAACTCCTAATCTTTGCGAAAAACATTTTAAGTCTCAGAATAGCCTGTCCAACTGCCCAAAGTCTTCTTCAGCTCTAGCCATTGTCTCCCTGGAGATTCTCTGGTATCCTATCTCAAGTAGGATGATGAGCTTCCTTTTACCTGTTTTCTCTTTCATTTAACTCTTAAAACTTTTTTTTTAAAAAATGACACATAAGACCTGCCCATATTTATGGGGTACCATGTGGCATTCTAGTAAACGTATATTTTGTGTAATGTTCAAATCAGGGCAAGTGTATCCATCTATCATTTCTTTGTGATGAAAACATTCAGAACCTTTCCTTGTAGTTCTTCTGAGACATGGCGTGCTATCATCGTCTGTCACCTCCCTGCTGTGCAATTGCACACCAGTGGGGTTGTCCTATTGACCTGCAATACAGCACCCATTATCCTTTTCTGGCTCTCATTTGTGCCTTCAATGCAAGACTTTCCTCTATGCTAGGCTTTTCCTTTTGTTTTCTTTTTTTCTTGTTTTCGAGCTCTTGCCTCTCTCTGCATTTTACCTAAACTGAGATTCTCAAGGCCAGAGACTATTTCTGATTTTCCCCTTGGTCCAGCCTCCAACCAAATGCTGAGCTTGTAACAAATTTTTAATAAATAATTTAAAGTTTCATCTAGTTGAATCTTTCACTTGAAATTTTCAGTTTTTTCTTTCTTTCTTAGGTATAATTATTAGAAATCCTTGAGTATTGTGTGGAGGTTTTATTATAATGCTATGGTCTAGCATTATATTGCTTTGGAAGTTTATGACAAATGGAACACAAAGGTAAGAAGACATTGCTGTTGCTACATAGCCACTTCTGGGAGCCAGGAGAGGCACAGAGCTCTTCGCATGGTGGTTTCTGCTGTGTGCCTTGGCACTTCCTCCCTCTTCTCCACTCCTGAGTTTTGAGCCAAGTTCTAGACTTCACTTCCTCTCTCTTGGACACTTGAAATTACATCCCTTCTATTTTTCCTTCTTTGATTTTCCCTATAATTCTAAACATTGACATCAAGGGTCTTTCTAAAGAAATGATCAAATTTCTCTTGTGCTAAGAAACTCAGTGCTAGTCACCATTTTATTTATTTATTTATTTATTTATTTATTTGTCTTTTTCGTTTTTATTGGTACCAGGGATCGAACTCACGACCGCAACTTGCAATGCAGGTGCTTATGCCGCTGAGCTAAATCCCCAGCCTCTAGTCACCATTTTTTAATGAAGTTTCCATCTCCTGGTTTGGCATTTTAAGCCTTCCAATGTGTAGCCTCTCCTGCATCCTCGTTTTTATTATTCAGCACTCTTGAGAATGGCCCTAGATTCTGTTTTAATGGAACTACTTCTTTGAGCTTCATTTAGCCAACCTTGCATCTTTGCTAGAGAAATATTTTGACTCTATTTTTCTGTGTTAAAATTGTCTTAATCTTTAAAGGTCAAGTTAACAGAGCCTTTCTGGACCACCCATAAAGAGATTCTTCTTTTACAAATGCTCACACAGTACACTGTTTATGGCATTTCCCCCTTCTATCTTAGGCTTAGTTATTTATACATATTCATTTAGTTGTTTCTCAAAAATATTGAACAGAATTTTATAGGTGCCAGAGATAAAAAGCAATATACTCTACTGGCTAGACAGTAATAGATCTTCAAATAAAAAGTACAATGTATCACATATGATAATGGATGTTAAAAGACTCTGAGAAGCCAGAAAAAGGCTGGCCTAAATCTGTCTGGAGACTCTCAGAGGAGTGCTTGAATTTCAATGCAGAAGATGTTTAGGCATTAATTAGCCAGATGGACAGGCTTAGGGGTTGGTATAGAGCTAGGAGAATGAGACCGCTCAGATGGAAGCCTTAGTATTAAGAAAGGCAGAGACTCTTGGCAAAGAGTGGAATACGTGAAGAGAATGACAAGAGAGAGTGGTCGGGTGGTCAGGGACTAGATATCTCCCTACCAAGGAGTCTGCATTTCAGCAGTAGTGCGCCCCTACACTATTTTATAAGATTGAGTTGTGGATAGACTTTGATAGCAGTGTGGAAAAATAGAAGGAGAGAAGAAAACATGAGCAACCTACTGGGGATTCCTTGTCTGGTTCATCCTCATATTTTCTGATTCCACTGAGATTAGTGCCACACACATGGCTTAAGTACAAATTATATTATTTGTTCAAGAAATGAAAGAAAATAAAGTGTTCACATTTGCTTAAGACCATTACTAGAAAGGTACATCAGCTTTGGAGTTCCTACTTCACCTGTGCTTGCTCAGATCACACAAGTAAAGGGCATTTTCCAGCTTCCTAAACCTGGCTATCCAGGCCTCCTCACGTTCACTGGACCCATTCTTCATGGCTGAACTCACATGAGGCTGGAGACTGGTCTGATCTTCAAAGTGCACAGAGGATCTTCCAGGGCTGAAGTCTTAGCAGGAGGGTTTTTTGGCTGTAGCACCTCTTCTGGAGTTTTCTACCAAAATAATGTAAGCATCTCACTGACTGTTCATTCACCACTCAGAGCTTCTCCAGTCTTTTGGCCCGAGAGAGACTCATGCCTGAGGATGATTTACTGGAAGATATGGATTTAGACGGCAAAGATGAGTTTGAAATTTTCAGCACCATAAGGCTGTATCTGCAAAGTTTTTCTGATGCAAACATACTGTGGTATAATTTGTTTGTTCATTGATTTATTTATTTATATTGGAAGTTGAACTCAGGACTTTACATTTGCCAGGCAGGCACCGTGCAACTGAAATATGTCCCCAGCCCTGAGGTATTTTTTTAAAGATAAGTCATCACCATACTTTTAAATGTTATGAAAACTTTCATTCAGTTTTAACTTTTGATTTGCACAAAACAGATGACTTTATAACTAAGAATCTTCCTAATGCCAAAAATTCCAATTGTTCTAGTAGGAGTTGAATGAAATGGGGTCTGACAACATTTCTAACTTTTCAGAAACTCTCTCAAGAAAATTTCTCAGGAAAATCTCATAGGTGTGCAGTTACTGACAAAAAAAAGTGACTGAAACAGTAGTGATATTATTTTAGGCTCCTGGGCCTATTTTAAAGAATATTAAAGTTCCTCTAGGATTCTGGTCCTGTTATTTCAATAGAGAAAATTGAGGCACAAAAAGTACAAATGATTACTAAGGTGCCCAAATCTTGGGGTATGCCCAGGACTACTAGCAGGACAGAGGTGATATCTACTTGTAGTGTCTAAAAACATGCCTAGTTTAAAACAAAAAATGTGTTTAAAATAAAACAAGCAAATGACCCCAACAGTGCCAGGGAAGGATCCCTGCCACCTTCTACTGGAGGGAGTGACATCTGCAGTTTGGCCTGCCTGGGTCCACTTCTCCAAGAATGCCGTTCCTGCTGATCCTGTGGCTTCAGGAGAGTATGCCATGTATTCTGCATGGAAGGCAGAATGGGCCATAGCATAATAAAGCTATGTCCTGGAATTTTGGAGCAATGTGTGAGAAAGACAAAAAGAAAGAGGAAAAAATAATTCTACACGAGATACCGAAACTATCAGGCTTTCTGCCTATACACTGGACATAAGAAAAAGCTGCTCTACTGAGAAATGGAGGGGACGTGGCTGCTGGCAGAGAGGAGGAAAGACAGAAGTCCTGGTGATTCTCGAGTCCCTCAGCATTTCTATCTTTGGGTAACATAATATGTTTCTCTGTCCTTCCTACTTTAAGGTAGCAGAGTTGGCTCTGTTCCTTGCAATACAAATAATCCTAATTCACAGCAGAATTATACTTCTCAGATTTGTATATCAGAGGCGGTGAATCTTTTAGAGACTAAGTGCCCAAACTGCGACCCCAAACCCATTTATTTATCACAAAGTGCCATCACTGCAGTTAAACCTGAATGGTGTACAGGTACAAATTCCTTATGAATATGATCATCATGTATATCTAAAATGTGTCAATTAATTTAGCTAGGTTTTTTAAAAGCCAACAAAAAACCTCTGAATCGTCAGCTGCTGGGGTGATGCTGGGGTAACTTGGCTTGTGTGCCAACAGTTGGGCATCTGCATGCCCACTGTGGAACACCTGCCATACGCTCACCACCACTCTTGCCTACTGTCTGTGCTCCACAACCTTCAAATGTTAAATTTTCCCAATTTTGTTCCTTGTCTCCAACTTCTCACATATAAGCACTGAAAAATCCCAAGGTCCTAAAGAATATTAATTGCAGAGAAACCCAAGTTCTCAATTGGCTACAAACATAGATTCAGCTGCTGCAGGGAAAAGTGAAGGATTCTTTCTTTTGAAATAATAGAATGCAGTAAGTATTGCACCTGCTTAGATGACAAAGCAACTGGTAGGGTGTAAGGAATATAAAATAATTCTCCTTTGATAAAATTGATTTTGGAAAGGGTGTAAAGTCATCATATAGAAGAGTAGTGAATATTAAGTTTTTAGAGTTTTACAAATATAATGAAAGTTTTAGGAAATCTGACCAGGTTAATGTATACTTGCACAGATTTTGGTGACTTGTAGAGACATCAAGGTAGCCAGGGATATGAACAACTGAATTTGAATAGATTTTATTTACTCAAATATTTCAACACGTTCTCTGACCACTAAAGACATGGGAGATTGGAGATACAGAGCTGAATTTAACTGAGGGAAGAAAGGAAGGAAAGAATGAAGGAAGGAGAGAAGTTAGAAAGGAAGGAAGGAGCCAACATGCCCCATGTCAGTTTCTGTCCCACGGCATAAGAAGAAAGTCCAGATCCTCATCATGGCAGTAAGAACATTTATGTTCTCAATGCTGCTCATTTTTCAGCTTACTTCCTTTCCATCATACATACGTATCTTTTCTCCAACCAGATAAAAACTGAAAAGATGAATATATTTTTTGCTTTTGTCACTTTACAATACTGTCTGCCACCTTTTCTTTGAGTGTTAGGCTCTTACATCTTCCCATAGTTCCATCTCATGTTCCCGTTCTCATGTGCATCCTGTGACTGCCCAGGCTGGACAACAGGCAATTCTTCATAGCCATTTCACCCATCAAAACACTTACCATTAGATGCTGTATTTCTCAGAGCATGTCCTACCCCAGGGATGGGAAAGTAGGGCATGTGAGACAGTTACTGGTCTGTCTTCCAGGTCTATTTAGTGACTAGCACAGGCTGTAGTAGGTTCTCAAGACATGCTTGATGAATGAATAAGTGAAGGAATAATTTTCTTTGGGACAGTTTTCTGTTTCAATTCTCATTTTTAAAAAAGGTGGGACAATGAAGACTACTTATGCAGGAATGTGAGAAAAGTCAATTATCGTAAAGAGGTGATAAAATCCTCAAAACGAGTGAAATAAAAGAGCAAAGTATGTTTTATAATCTTATTCACAACAGACTTAACACTGAAAGAGTAAAGCATTTGCTGTTTTTTCTTACATGGCAAGATGCTTGCCAAAATTGGTACTGTTTTCTAAAATATTTCAATGTGTGAACCACAGTAAGAGGCTGCCCATCATTTTAAGATGAATTATGTTCTAATCCAAGCATATAAAAAACGACAACAATGGAAAAACAGGCTGTTTTTCAATTCTACAATATCTCCTGGCTAACTGCGGGGAATATTAAAATGTATTTTAACTGATTTCCAGCTCTCTCTCTCTCTTTTCTCTGTTAAATCAGGGACGCCGTTGCATTTTAAAATGTGATTCCTCGAGGGAAGTCATCCTCAGTTTCTGGAAGCTGGATGTCTCCTGAGCAACCTTTATTTTGACGGTAGTTGGTGGATGGGTCACAAGCTTTATCAGGACACCTGCATACTTCTTTGGGGCAGTGGCACACATTACTGAGTGGTGGGAGGGCTAGGATGGGGCTGACACTCTAAGCATCCTCTTCCTCCCTTTTGCACCTGAACAGGACGGAAACTTGACTACCGTGGGCACCCTCCCATGCTCTGCATGCTCCACAAGTTCGGTCTGGTTTTGAGATAATCAGGGACTTCAGGCTCCTCTGGAGAGGCAGGGGCTTCCTTTTCATTCTTCCCTACGCAGGAAAGAAGACATAGAAGGGTCTAGTTTGTTGTCTTCATTTAACAACAGTCTCATCATCAGAGACACATTAATGAACGAAAACCTTGGCTTCTACCTTTGGAGCAGATGCCAATTAAAAAACTCAATCACCAGCATCATAAGGCCACTAGAGCACAATGTGCAGAAAGAAGAAAGCATTTATATTTATATGAAGGCAAGGGCAAGAGTGTAGCTGGTTAAGAGAGGCACCTGGAGGACCTGAGTGGTGAGGAGTCTGCAGCTGGCCTGCACCAGCTGGCTCTGCACAACTCCTGGAGTAGGGAGAATATCTCCAGGGCCCTGCCTCTTAGCAAGCCAGGGGTCTGTTGCCTTCCACATGGACTGAGGCTAGGAGACCTACATGAGCAGAAGTGAAAGCAGCACCATACCCGGGATGTGCTGCCAACCTGGTGTGACCTGCTGCAGGCTGTGGCTTTGTGAATGAGACCCTTGTGCCCTTTTCTGCAGAACAGACTTGGGCATCCACCATGCTGACTGAGACAACCTTCCTTCACCACTCAGCAGTTCCCTCTGACACAGACTTCTTTATGAGATGTGGCCAAAGATACGATGACTGCTTAAAAGCAAAGAATTATATTATACGAAAATAAACTGCTCTTAAACTCCTTCAAATGCTCCCCCTTGCTTCCAGCATACTCCCCGCATCGTCCTTGCCATTTTCTGCAACAGCTCTAGAGTCCTCTTTCCTAAGTGTCTTTGCATTGTTGTGGTTGCCTCAATGTCCTAAATAGACCCAAAAAATTTTCCCGTCACAGTCATTTTAACTTTGAGGAAGAGCTGGAGTCATGTGTTATCAGGTCTGGTTAACAAAATGAATGAGGACACACAACCATGATTTTACAAGCCTGCCCTTCTGCCTTTCTCAGAAAGACATTCAGGAAAAGGAAACTCCAGAACTGCTTCAGAGAGTCACAAGAAGGAGAGGATAAATTACCTGAAGTGAGGAAGATTAATGACAATATGTCTTTTAGTGCAATAATATTTTAACTTCATCATAGTTTTGATTTTCTGTGTATGTTGCCAATTCCCATAATGACCAAACAACATAGACTTCTGGGGTCTTTGGCTTAAACATTTGTTGCATAATTCAAGTACATTATTAATAAATGCATATACATAAATATTATTTCTGAGATGGTTCTTACTGCTTCAATTTAAAAGATTCAATGAATAAAATCTAAACACAGCAGGAAGTGTAACACAGGCCAGACAACCTGGGTTTGAATTCAGGTCACTTTATTAGCTGAATATTGTTGGGCAAGTTACCCAAGTTCTCTGTGCTTCTTTTTTCTTTAATAAAATGGAGATGACACAGGTTCTTCTCAGGAGAAGAAAATGTAAAGGAAATATATGGAACACAGTAGGTGTCTAATAAATGTTAAGTATCAGTGCTATTAGGTAAGGATGTTTTCATATATTCCCATACCAGATATAAAAGCTTTTTGTCCCACAGTTTTTAGCCCTAAACCTGTGAATCTTTATGAATAGCCTTCCTTAGTTTCTTGATGGAGAAGACAGTGTGATTTTACATTCTTCTGTGAGGTCCCATACCCAGCACCAGAATAAGCATTCATCACATTCTTGCCAAAAAAAATGGCTTGTGCCCTTGTTTACTTGGAATTTGGAAAATAGTCTCTAAGTATACAGGTCATTTCTTGACTTCCTTTTCTAGTACTTGAAGAAGAAAATTTTTTCTCTGTATTTTTTTCCTGCTTCTGTACCTTACAGGCAAGCTAAATCGGTGCTTCCAGGCCAGTCTTCTTTGATGTGCTGAAAATTTGTCATGGAAATATGTTGTTACTAAGCTGCACTGGTTCCTGACTATTTTACCCAGCATGGAAAGAACAGCTTTCTGTTTAGTGCTGGAAAAAAGGTTCAAATTGTTCTAAATTAGAAATGGACAGTTAGAGGGCCTTTAGAAGCTTCACATGGCAAAAGGGCAGGAATATAAACATTGGTGTGAGACTGACCTGACTGCTGATTCTGATTCTTTTCTTTACCAGCCATAAGCTTTTAGATAAAATCTTTCCTTTGTAAAATTACAGCACTCTTCAGTAATCTGGCAAGATAAAGAATACTTATAAAAATACCTAATACAAGGGAGATGCTCATTTTGGGGTAATATTTGTTGTTGTGTTATTGTAAGACCTTAAACAAATCTAGTTTCCCTGGAGAAAACACAAATACTAATTGCAATATGTCAGGCATTTTTGTAGGCACTGGTCAATATATTTTCCCTTTGAGAATAAGATCTAAAATATAGACTTTGTGCTGGTCCAGAGTCTTTTTATTCTCTGCACTTTTCAAGGTTCTATTAGGAGAAAAATACATGCTGTTCTACTTGATTTCTTTTAAGGTTCCTTTTTCCTTCCCAATAGCTTACAGCATATTAAAAGGTAATGGTTTGCATATGTAAACACTGTTTGAAAGACCTAAGGCAGAGCTCTTTTTTTTCTTCCTTCTAACTCAGCAGGAAGGATAAATAATAACCATCTGTCTAGTCTGCCAGTTGAAGATTTATACTGGAGGCAATAAGCCAAGCTGGCTCTAGAGATTTCCAGGTGTGGGAAAGGCCAGGTTTTACAGGGCTTCCAGTGTGTCTGGTGGCTAGGCACCAGCTCTCCAGTCTGCCCCACTAACAACTCAAATCTGTGATCTTCAGCACTGGCTGCATGTTACACTCACTGGGAAGCTTTTAAAATGACCAGTGTTCAGGCGTCAGTAAGAAATTCACCCAAAGCCTCTGAAGAAGGGATAGCCAAATAGAATGTTGAGCAGAGGGGAAACAAGGACCAAGACATGACAGTATCTGGGGGAAACCATTAGAGTTGAGTCAGAACAAAGACAGAACCTGGAGCAGGGGTGCTTAGTGCTTCCAGGCAACAGTGGAGAGGAGAGGCCTGCAGAGGTGGAGCCCAAAACCAAGAGGGGAGGTGTCATGAATTGAACCCTCACTGCCAGGCCAAGGGACAGAGGTGCATTTCCATTTTCTGGCTGTCCAGTGTTCATTGCTTCCCAGTAATGCCCCCTTCACTCTTCCCTTTGGTGACAGCAGCCATCCTTTGCTTTGTGGGCAACCCTACCCCGATCCAAGGACATTATGCTTTGGTAGCACTGACCTCCGGTTTCAGCTCCAAACTTGGTCTTCAATTATCTTAGTATCCCAGTCAAAATCTTTGTTCAAAGATAGGCACCAAACTCAACTTGAACCTCTGATAGAAAGGAGATGCTTGCTATTCATGTTGAAAAATTTTCTTCTTGGGGAGAACTTACAGAGGAGTACCATGCAGATGTGACAACCATAGCTACCTTAGCGGCTTTGCTATTATAGAAGGAAGGTCTGCACTAGTCAGGAGATGTCACATGAAGCCTGATGATGATGCCAATGCCAAGTAAGGAAGAGCAGAGAGTCAGGAAGAAAGCAGTTCTTGTTTTTTGCATCTGAATGGCTAGATCAAACAATGCCTATACCCCTTGCTGCTGCCAGACACTTTCAGCTAAACTAAACTGAACTCTCTTTATGGTCTAAATCAACTGAGTTGGATTTTCTGTTGCTTCAGTGTAAGCAGTTCTAACTAGTAATTAGTATAGATATTTTTCCTTAGTAAAAGAAAGACTGACTCTTCCCGCTTTTTTTCTTTTTTCTTTTTTCCGGTACCGGGGATCGAACTCACGACTGCCTGCTTTCAAGGCAGGTGCTTATGCCGCTGAGCTAAATCCCCAGCCCCATCTTCCCACTTTTTTGTGTCTTCTATAGTGATGTAATGTTTTGAAGGGGATTAACCAGCCTTTGAGGTGACCGTTGATGCCTCCAAACTTCTCCATCTATAGCCATGATCCAGCTTTGCCCCTTGCTTACTGCCACTCCATCCTCCTCTCCTTCATTCACAGTCTCCACGATGCGGAGATTCTCATACAGAATCATTCTTTAGTTATGTAAAACACTAGTTCAGACCTTAGATTGCACCAGGTGACAGGGGCCATGCTCACTAGTATATTTTTTTGATGGGAGTTCGGAGTGTTTCTTGGATCTGTGACTTTAAATCTTTCATCAATTTTGGATTTTCTCTTATTTCTTCCAAATATTTCTTCAGTTCTATTTTCTTTCTCCATCCATCGGCAGCTTCTTTTCTCTTCTTTTCCTCTGTCCTTGGAGATAGGGAAGAAGTCCACACAGAGACACTGCAGAAACTGGAGTTACAGAATACCAAGCAGGAGAGGGTTGGCTACTGAAGTTGCAAGAGGCAAGCCCTCAGAGGAGGTGTGACCCAGAAACACCTTGATTTCATCTCCTAGCCCTCAGAGATCTGACACAAGGGTTGCTGTGGTTTTAAACCACCAAGGTGTGATCATTTGTTACAGCAGCCCTGGGAAGCAGATTTTGTTTTAAGTAAGAGAACAAAAACAATGATGCAGAATTTCAAAACAACATAATGGGAGGATAATAATGATTAATATATTGCATACTGTTATCTTCAAATAGTTGCTCAGATTATAAGATATAGGCATGAAAAATGATCAAGCCATGAAAGCACAAACTGTTCTTTTTGATGAACTAATAGAGGATAGTAGTATAATTATCTATCATATAAATATATAGTCTTTCCCCTTCTTTCTTTTCTCCTTTACCTCATTCCAGTTGTTCGTTCCTTTTGATTAATTACTTCTCCTTTCACTTTCACAATATTTATTGGACATTTTGAATGCTATTATTTTTATTCCTTCAGCCTTTTAATACTTGGTACTATTCTTCTATAGTGAATTCTGTCCATTTGAAATACCTAGTAAGGTTTCGGTTTCTCAGTTTGTATGCAGACTGATCTACATGTCCAATTCACACATGCATGCACGCATAGATTTTCAGCACTGTGCATTCTGATTCAACAAGTACTTATTGATAAATCAATAAGTAGTAGATATAGTAAAGAAACTATAAGTGCAGATTAATATCAACTTTGCTCATCAGACATATAAAACTTGCTAATTGGTAAATATTTGTGTTCAAGTCATCTTTATAATTTTGCCCAACAATACATTTTAGAAGTCTTCCTGTGGCAACTCAGTCATGTTACTATACTATTGCATAGTTTTATCAGTTGTTGTACAGAGCTGTGAAAAAAGGTACTCACCTGTGGGTAAGCCAGAAAATAAGTTCAAAGAAGCTCTGCTTAGCAACTCAACAAAATTTTGCAATCTGTGTAAGAGAAGAAATCACAACATTGGTGACCAGTGTGGTTGCCGTGGAAATACATAGAGGAAACTTCCTGCTGGCTGGGGTGATACTAAAGAGTTTTTCAGTGCCTGTATCATTCTGTAACAAGGTAGTAAAAATTGTATAGTAGCTTCACTAGGAAGAACTTTGATATAGGGCAGCAATGGTGAATGTTTAAGAGACTAGGTGCTGAACTGCAACCTAAAACCAATTTATTTATTGCAAAGTGCAAACATTTCAGTTAAACCTGAATACTGAGGTGTTAGTTTAGGGAAAAAAATCTTCTACATTGTATCTTTTGTCTTCAAAGGAAAACATAGTAATTCTCTTGCCATAGGTTTACCAACACAGATAAGAGAATTTTGTGCCTACAAAGTTGCTGCAAGCCTACTGGGCTGGAGGATGGGGCCTACAGGTTGGTTTAGGGTCATATCTCAAGCAGGTATGGTCTAGAGACTAGGAAACTGCAGGGAAGCCTGATTGCTGTCTCAGTGCCCCCAAGCCTTGAAATTGGTGACCAGGCAGGATCAGATGCACCCTGGAAACCAGAAAAAGTAACAATGAACAGCTTCTGTAGTTGCTACTGCTACAGGAAAATAAATGAATCATTTAACTGTTTCTGTACTCTCATCATTCCAGTCCTTCTGCATCTCCAGTTTGTGCAAATAGAAAAGAAATCAATTCTGAAACTTTGGTGTAATGGAGTTTCATAGTCTCTAGATTTCACAAGAATAGAAGAATTGCAGCACAGAAAAGAACAGAAGGGATAAAGGTGCTGCACACAGGTGATGGTGAATTGTCCAAGAAGACATTGCCCTGAGCAGTTTGTCTGCAAGTGATATTCAGGTCATAGGTAGCTGTTAAAGCTTAAAAGTGCTCATCTAAGCTGAAGGAGCTAAAGTCACTCACACTTGCTTGCCTGGCATGGCCCTTGTTGGGACAGTAACCACTCCATTTCCTTTTGGATACAGTGCATTAGGAATGTCCCAGGGGTACCATGTGTGCTGTTCTAGCCAAAGCTGGAATCCACTTTTTCTATTTAGTCTCTGTCTATCACTGTATCTGCCACTTCTTTTCTCCTTCTCTTTTAATCTTTGTCTCTGTCCCAGTGTGTCAGTAATGTTTGTTGTGGTTCTTCATGAAGTTCTATTTTTTCCAATTTTGTGAGTTGTTTTATATAATTTAAGAATATTTCTTTCTGCTCTTCTTAACAAAACCTGGTGGTAAAAACATATGGTTTGTGTCTAGATATTTTCCCATATCTCATGTGATCACAGGTGGGACTTTTCAGATGTGGCTGGATCTAGAATGTGTGGCTCAGCGATTAAGGATATGTGATTACTAAATTAGTCCACTCATTGGTCTGACATATTTCTGAGTGCAGGTAATAGGCCAACCCACCCCAGATGTGAGTGCTACCTGCCCTGAAGGCATGTACCCTGAAGATAATAAAAGGGACAGAAACAGGGCTATAGTGATTGCTTGTAGCTCACTGCTTTCCTGTCTTCTGCCTGTCATGAACTGTTTCTTCTCTTTGATGCCCATCTGCCAGGCCACCCTGCCTTGGAGCCAGCTGACTGTGAACTGAAACCACGAAAAACTGTGAGTGGAACCTTTTCTCTTTCAACCTTGGGTTTTGGTATTTTGTCTTAGCAACAAGAAAAATAACTAAAACACAGCCAACCTGAAAATGGTAAGAATTTTTATCTATGCTTTGGCCATCAGAAGAAATAGAGAAAAAATAAAGAGCATGTTATGAGATCTATGTCCTGATTTTTCTTGCAGTTCTAATGCTGTGCAATTTTACTCTCTTTAAATAAAAATGGTTTGTCAAATATCTGTCAGTTTGTTTTGTCTATACCGCACATAACTTTTCCTGTAGACATGACATCTTAGGAGGTCTAGAATTGTCTACAGTTTGGTGACTAAGTGCCAAGTTCTTAAAGCCAGAGAGCCTGCAATTGATTTCACCTTATCAGTGAGTTTATTTATGAGCTGCATAGGGGCTTTACCCTTTCTGTGCCTCAGTTTCCTCATTTGAAAATCAAGAGTACCATGAAGCATTTGAAAAAATGAAAAGTTAATATTTGTGAAGCACTTAGAAAATTGATTGGAATAAACACTGTATAAGGGTTGGAAACTTTATTAGCATTATCATCATTGTCATTGTTATTATTATTGACAGTAGTAGGATGATGATGATGATGGTGATGATGATGTGGAAAGAAAAGGCCAGGTGTGATTTCTAAAGTGCAGCCATGGGCAGCATTCCACATTTTTAATAGCTCTCTGCCTAACACATTTCCTATTCCCCTTAAAAAGTAATTGCTGAATCAGACACCTTGCATGCTTCCTTTATCTCCACAAATCCTCTGCTTGTTCCTGGGATTAGTAAACCAGTCCTTTTCAGCCTAATTGCACTCCCAGATGTGCATGATAAGCCCTGCTCCTGACTGTGTCAATTGCTCCCATCTATTCACAGAGCTTTCAGGGTGACTTCATTATTTATTCCCCTTTCCAACACAATATGGCCAGTCTGCTGTGTTTTAAACTGTTTGGAGCATTTAACTTGCCAATACAATTTTAGAATATTAGTCTACCTCCTGTTCTCTCACTGACCTCCTTAATTTCCACATATTACAGTCACACAAAAACATTAAATGTAAATTCTGATTTACATGTTTCCAGCCAAGAACAAGGATAATAATTTCTATCTAACACAATCTGAACTCATTTTACATTAGGGTGATTCAGAGTAGAGATTTGAAATCGTAATCAAGTCTTTCTCAAAATCGCCTTACCCTGGCAGTCATTCACTAATGTCTCTGCTAATTGGTAGGCAAATTGCAAAAAACAAAATCTCAATTAAAAAAAAAACTATGTTACAAGGCTTACAAAATTGCTCCTCTTGTCAGCTCTTGCAGCCTGACAGTTTTAAAAGGGAACACAACTCATTCTGTTTGGTTAGATGCGGCTAATCCCACATCACCATAATCCTTCCTGATGTTTTATTGATTCTGAAGGACATTTAATCAGGAAGCATCTCAGCACTAGAATCCTGCTAATTAGCAAGCAGCCACATTCCAAATGGGTTCCCAATTGAACAGTGGATTAATGGACAATATGCACTAAAATAACGATTTGCACATTCAGCTCCTAAAATGTGTGTTTAAATTGCATCTTTAATCTCCTAAGGATATAGGTTTGCATATAAAGTCCTTAACGGGATGACTTTAATTCAACAGAAGAAGCTTTAACCAATGACTGTTTAAGGACAAAGCAGGTTTATCACTAATAAATTCAACTCTTCTTTAGTTCTCATGGCTTTGATATTCTTGAATATTGGAAAGTGAGAAAAATGTATATTTCTCTGATTTTGATAAAACAGTAGAAACTTGAAAATACTGATAAAACTATAAATAGTTTCTCATTTGCTTCATGTTCTCTTGGTCTCATATTACTGATTCCTGTTTTTCTGGACTCAACTTTTAATCAACAAATATTTACTGGCCCTCTACTAGGTACTAGGTATAATGTGATTTTGCTTCCTTGAAGCTGCAGTTTTGTTTTGTTTTGTTCTTTGCTGGACTGTTTTATTTTTTTGATTGATCCCAGGGCCTGCACAGTGAACTAAGTCCCCATCTATTTAATTTTTATTTTGTTTTATTTTATCTTATTTTCTTTATATTGAGACAAGGTTTTCATAAGTTATAAAATTGCTTGGCTGAGCCCAAACTTGCTATCTTTCCAGTCTCCCAGAGTGCTGGGATTACAGGTATGTGGCACCATGCCTGGCTGAAGCTATGTTATTACATGTATACTTAGGATTGTTATGCTTGATTGACAAAATGACTTTGTGACAACATCTATTGCTTGATACAAACATTATTGCTCTAGTTTCTCTTAGAATCATTATGGTGCATCTTTTTCCTTTACTTTTAGCTTGTCTACGTCATTATATTTTAAATAGGTTATTGTAGACAATGTTTAGTTATTTTCTTTCTTTTAAAATAAAATTTGAAAATCTCTGCCTTTTAATTGGTGCCTATGGATTATTTATATTTAATGTACTTGATTTTTCCTACGCAAAATCTATTATCAAACATTGGAATTCCATATCATATTGTAAATCTCAGAGAGTAGTGTTCCTTTTTTCCCCTTCAATACTGGAGTTTGAATCCAGGGCCTTAGCATTGAGCTATATCCCAAGCAATCTGTTTTTTGAAACAGTCTTGTTAAGTCACCAAGCTACACAGGCTGAGTTTTCAGTCCACCTGGGACAGCTTTGCCCAGGGATGGAATTACAGGCATGGTGGCCAGTATAGTTCTTATTTTTACTTTAATTACCTTGCAAGAGTTTTTTAAAGTGAGAAAAAAATATATTTTTACCCATATATTTACTATCCCAGTACTCTTCATGCTTTTTAATAGACTGAGTTATTGTTTGTCTTAGACATGAAGTAATTTTTAAAAAGTATTTCTCGTAGTGTTTATCTATAGGTTATGAATTTGCTCATCTCTTTTATGCATGAAAAATATTCACTTTACATTTCTTTTTAGAAGATGACTATTCTAGATGTAGAATCTATATGATGGTTTTCTTCCTTTAATGCATTAAAAATGTTACTCTACTTTCTTAACCCTGATGTTTTTCCTTTGAGAATCCGTTGCAATTATTACCTTTGTTTTCTAGTATTTTTTTCCTTCTCTATGCGCTTTTCAGGCTTCTTTATCTTTGGTTTAAGTAATTTGATTATAATAAGCCTTTGGATGATTTATTTCATATTTTTGTTTTTAAGATTCATCGAGCTTCATGGGTCCATGTCTTTACAGTTTTCTAGAAATATGGAAAAACTTCAGTGATCATCATTATTTTTCTATCCTTCTGTTCTCTCTTCCTTTTCTGAGACTTTAATTTCTTTGCATTTGGCTGTTGATGTCATCACAAACTTCAGTGATGTTGTGTTGAATTTTTTTCATTTTTTTACAGTTTCATTATGGAGCATGTTTATTTCTGTGTTCCTGTTGTTTTTTCTTCTATGTCTGATATTATTTTTATTAAGACTATTTTTGTCTTAGTGTTTCTTATGATTAACGACTTTTAAAAATAATTTCATATTTACCCCCAAAATTTAAAAATATGACACAGGATTCTCTCATCCTTTCCAGCCAACTTCCCTTTTTCTCACCATCTTACATTAATGTAGTACAATTTAGGGGCCAATGTTATCACATTAGGATAAACCCAAGTCTAGATTTTATTCCAATATCATTGGCTTTTACCTCATGTCCTTTCTTAATTCCATACTCCATCCTGGTTACTGAATTACATTTAATCTTTATGTATCATTAGATTCTTCTTGGCTATGCAGTTTCTCACTTTTTCCTCATTTTTAATGGCCTCCACAGTTTTGAAGATAATTGGCCAGTCATCTCTAATATGAATCATTCTATATTTTTCTCATCATCATCCAGGAATTATTTGCTTTGAGAAAGACAATATCATATCTTTCCTCTGTAGAAATTTCATTTGTATCTTTATTTCTTCAATATCTCCTATTATATTCATGACTCTTTATACTTTTTTAAATACGTGTGGTATATTTGTAATTATTCTTTTAAAGTACTTGTATGCTTATTTTATTAGATGTATTGTTTTTGAGATTATTTCTATTAATTGAGTTTTCACCTAATAATTGATAATACTTCATTCTTTTCATGCCTAGTAATTTTGCATGTATGCTAGATATTGTGACGTGTATGTTGTTGGTTGAGATTTTTAATTCCTTTGAAAATTTGTGAGATTTCTTGTTGGATGTAGTCAGTTTTGCAAACTGACTATCATTAAGTTTTCTTAAGGTGTCTAAGATTTTTGTCTAGGCTAATTTTGATTTTCTGAGGATCCTCTACATACAATGCACATCTGTTTGGAAGCTTTCTTCACTGGCTGATAGAAACACAAGCTATTTCCAGAAATATGTGAAAACTAAGAAAATTTTATCTCTTCCCCTCAAAATTTTTCTTTCTTGGCTTGGATAGTTTCTCCAGATAGATACAATAGCCAGAACTTACATGAAGTCTTAAAAGCATTTCTTGGAAATCACTAGTAAGTCATTTCTAGGGTTTTCTGTTTTCACTGATCCTCTATAGAGTGCATTCTGTCCTCCTTGTGGTCTTCCTGCTCTCCAAACTATGTCTTTATCTCAGAGAGTATTCTGGCCTCTGTTTGGACTCCTTCCTCCTGTGCAGTGAGTTGAGATGATTGTATTGGTTTTCCAAATGTTTCTTCACAGGGTTTGAACATCTGTCTCCAGGCATCCAGAACACACTCTGCAGTCTTCCAAAACAAACCCTTCAGTTTCTTAATACAGACTCACACGGGAGTATGCAGTGAGCTCCAGACCTTTGACCGGCTCCCCTGGCTCCTCTGAGAACAGATGGCCTTTCTGCATTTCTTCATGCCTGACTCACCTTGTAATATATATTCTGTTCCTCTAGTGAACCCTAACTGAAACAGATTTTGGTTTTGTTTCTCTGAGTATTCACTGCTATATAGTGCTTGATAACCATTCACTGAAAACATTGTTCTATATGTTTGTTCTATTTGTTGTTTGTTTAATGTGTAGTGGCAAATTTAGTCCTTCATGGCTAAGAGAATGTTTCCTGGTTGCCAGGAAGGAGATGTTTTCTGGTTTGTCTTTGTGTGACTGAGGAGACACATTGATCTTAATATGAATGAACATTCCTTAACTCAGTCATAAAACTAGTAAAAACATATGTTTGTTTGGTATTGTAATAGAAGATTGAAGGGCTGACAAATTGCCTTTAGTTTCACAAAGGGGTTCCACTAGGTGCGAATGCTCTTGAACATCAGATATTTGTTTCTTACTGTTCTAGACTAGAAAATCTAGGACCAAAATCCAAGTCTACTTTTCCATGAGGGATTTCTTCCTGGCTTTTAGATGGTCACTGCCTTCTTGCTGTATGTTGACATGGAAGAGATACGTATTCTGATGTCTCCTCTTGTAGATGCACTAATTCCATCACAGGGACTTCCGCTCACAACTTCATTGAAATCCAAGTTACCTGATGACGACCTTCCCTGCTATACACTGAGAGTTAGGAATCCATCTTATCAATTTGGGATTAGTCTATCACCAAAAATAACTTACTTTATTTCATCCTTGTAACCCAGATCTTGGTGGTCAAGCAACGTTTCTAGCAGGCTCAAGGACAGATATAATCCATACTTCCCACAGATAGTCATCACCTAAAAATAAGAAAGGATTTGAAGCTTCATTAGAAGGATATTATTATTCAAATTTCCTTCTCATAATCAGACTGTATATGATTTTGGCAAAGAACTAATTCCTGGGAGCACATTCTACCATTATGATATCATTTGAGAAAAAATATCCAGTTGATTATTTATTAATAGCATATTATTTAGTTGACACATCAGTATAATTTATTACTCAGAAAACACTGGGCTTTCAAATGTTGATATATTTTTGTCAGCCCTTGGATGGGTGGTAAAGTCCTAGGAATTATCTATACTTCACCATAGAGGTAAATCACAAGAAATTTTATATCATCTACTTTGATTTACAAGACAATCAAGTTGTATTAGGAGAGTTAAGGTTTTTATTTATGCATTAATGTACATATGAGATAAACAAGACTTACTATTTCCTTAATGTGATAGCTAAAATATTATAAAAGTTGATATTGAAACCTTATACTTAGTATTTATCAGATAAATAAAGTGTCATTGTAATTTCTCAAGTATTTAATATATTCTAGGTCTAGCTGATAAACCAGTTTAGTTCTCACATTGGAAGGTGAATGATGTTTAGATTCAAGTATGCCATATTCCCAGCAAAGTGAGAGTGCATGCTGTGTGTATATGATAATGGTTACAAAGTGAACTCAACTCAAACAAAACTTACTTAACCTTCCTGTGTACAATTATTTCATTTATTAAATGAGACTATAACTTATTAAATTTCAGGATTGTATGAAGATTACATGAAAAAATAAGTACTTAGAATGGAGTCCAGCTTTGATTACACACTCAAATAATAGATTTTGAAATGAAGAAAGGGAGGAAAGTGCAGGAGAAGAATAGAGGAAAAATACAGAGATGAGAAACGGAAGAAACAGAAAGAAAGGCTAGGATAGGAAAGAGGAAGTGTTTACTTTAGTGTTTGAACTAAATAGAAATCAGTAATATTTTCAATTACTTGATATTTAGTCCATTCAAAACTATCAATAGCTACTATTAATATTCTGAGAGGAAATTGAGTACAGTGATGATGATACTATGGGCTGTCCTTTTTACAGTTAGCCCATTCCTACAGAACAAAGTGCTCAGCTGACTGTGAGACTCTCAGGTACAAACTGAGTTTTCCAAGACTTGTTCGCCACCTAGTCTTTATTGGGTCCTCACAGGTCACTCTGTTTCTCTAATCACCTTGGGGCCACAGCTTTGAGGTTGCTCCAACCTGCCAGCCTAAGCTTGCTTTGCTCACTCCTCCCCAAGAAACTCCTTCCCTTATGGTCTCTGCTCCTGATGGTCCCTGATGCTTCCCAGCATGGTATGGAGTCCTCTTCCTCTCAGGATCCCTGACAAACAAAGCAACTTTTCTGTAGCCATTGTCTTCTGATCTGTTGATCTCATCATACCTAAATAACAATGAGCTTTACATTTTATTTTATTTTATTTTATTTTTTTTAATAATTTTTTATTTAAGGAGAAAAGAAAAGAAAGAAAAAAAACAGTGAAGGGGTACAAGTTGTACAGATTTACAGAATAAAAAATGCGCAGTAGGAAATCACTAGTTAATGGATTACATATTGCCATCTTAGAAATAATTGTTCAAGTCACAAAATTAAAGCTTGTAGAGTGGACATTCCAACAATGGTACTGCAAACAGTTCTGTTCAATGATCCAATAAAACTCTGTGATATTATTTTCTATCTTATACATTTAAATATACATGCAGTTATATAGTTTAGAGCACTTTCTTTTCCTCTCTTTTGTACAGTGACTATTACACATTTTGGGTTTCATTGCTCCCACAGTTCTTATTGCTTTTTTTGGAAGAGAGTAAAACCAAATGTGACATAACAGAACAGAATCGGTCAAGTCAAAAGGGTGGACATAATAGATAATATAAAAACATAATACAAGGTGATCAACAATGGTTACCATAATGCCTCCCGCTATTTCTAATAGAATTGCCTATACCATTAGTTGTACTACAATTGAACAAAACCGTAAAGAATAAAACCGACAAAACCAAAACATTGGAGATATTGTAGGTCTTCAAAAGTAGATAAAAGTCAACGAGAATGGGCGTTATAATGAATCTCATTATCTTCTCAGCTGATGCCTAAACTTTCAAACCTGATACTATCCAGCAAAACAGAATAGAGGAACCTCAGTCAAAAACAAGATGGTGAGAGTAATACAGGGCTTCAAATCGAGATAATATAAAGTCAAAGTGGGTTACTATATTATATCCTGCTATATTTTTCCCTTTAATTAAATGGATAAAAATAAAAAAGTAAATAATGGAGTGGAGATTGAGAAAAAAGAGGGCATAACAGCGAAACAGGGCAGATCAAAACATAACCATTTAAGCAGAATAGTGTTTCACCACCAGATAATCCTGACCCAAAAATAGTTACCATATTGACTCCCTCCCTGAAGTCCTTGAGTACAACTTCATATACTGTAGCATTAAGTATATCAAAACAATGTAAATCCATTTAAGAGAATGACAGCGTTATAGAGTATTTAGAATCGACTAACAGAAAATGAACAATGGTCTCTGTATAATCTCCTTGTCTTTAAAAGGTTTTTTCTTATACTATCGTACATAACAAAATTCAATAAGATACAACCTGTTTAGACCATTGGAGACAGAAAAACAAACGCTAGATGAGACTTCAAACCAAGATGGTACTAAATCAGCATTACCTATTAAGATGTCATTTTCTCCAAAAAAAAGCTGTTCCTATCATCCAATCTTCTCTGTCTCATTTCTGTTGAGCTCTTTTTCTGTCAGTAGCTGTCAGTTTGTCTTCTTCACTTTGTTCTCTGCTCCATTCATTGTGGCCTCCCCGCCCCTATTTCTGGGTTCTTTGTATTTTTCTTTTTTTAGAATATCCTGCAATACTTTCTGTAGGGTTGAATTGGTGGTTGCAAATTCCCCCAGTTCCTCTTTATCCTGGAAGCACCTCGTTTTTCCATCAATTTCCAGGGACAGTTGTGCAGGATATCTCAATCTTGGCTGGAGATTATTATCTTTCAAAGCTTGAATTATTTCTCCCCATGCTCTTCGTGATTTGATGGTTTGTGAAGAGAAATCTGCTGTGATTCTGATGGGTATTCCCTTGTAAGTGATCTGTTTCTTGTCTCTTACAGCTTTTAATATTCTGTTCTTGTATTGAATTTCTGGAATTTTTATTATTATATGCCTGGGTGTTTCTGTTAGGGTTGTAGGTAGCTGGGGTCCTGTATGCCTCATACATTTGAGTATCTTTACCTTTTGCTAAATTAGGAAAATTCTCCTGGATTATTTCTGTGAGTAGCTTTTGTAGTTCACTTGTTTGTGTCCCTACTTCTTCTTTTATGTTCTTAATCCTTAAGTTATGGCTCCTCTTATCATCTTCTTGTCTTTGTATTATTGCTGTGTGTTTCTTTGTTATTTTTAAGAAGTTTTTCATTTCATTCTCCCATGTTTCAAGTCTGCCCTCCAATTCAGATAGTCTGTCCTTAGTTTCTTTCAAGCTGTTATGCCAGTCTTGGGTAGACTTCTTAATTTCTTGATAGTCCCTTTGCACCTGCTTCACATACTCAATGCTTTCTCTGTTTTCTCCATCAAGCAATTCTCCCCTCTTTTCCTGTTCTTCCATTCCACCATCTGCTTTTTCCTGGGTGGTGCTTAGCATTTCTCTAACTATTCTGCATACTTCTAGCTTCAGGTCATTGATAACTTCATTCCTGAATTGGTCTATGAGGCTCTCTAAATGGCGCTTAATGTATATTGGTGCAGTGTCCACTATTGCCTGATTCTCAGGATTGGGGGCCGGGGAGCCTTTTTTGTTGCTTCCCTTCCCCATATTTTCTGTTCCTTATAAAATGCAATCCTACACAGGAGGCCCGGCTTCCCTGCCTGTCAGCCACAGCCTGATCAAATTGCGCTGGGTAGGTGTTCCCGCCCACCGCTGCGCACCAGGGAGTTGCGGAGGAGGCAGCCTACGCGGGAGTCGGTCGCTCCTCCGGGCCACCGTCAGGCTCTGGTATCTGGGCTAGGCCAGCCTAGGGGGTCCACGAGCAGCGTCCCTCCGGCCAGGCACCTTTCACCAATCCCGTCCGAGAGGGAAGTGTGCGGCTGCAGCCGCCACCGCGCCCTGCTCTTACAGGACCGCCTGAGCCCAGAAAAAACCTCCGCTGGAGTCAAACTGAGGCAGGGAGCCAGTTCCTCGCTCACCTCGCCACCAGCCAGCCTTCCTCCCTGTCCGTCGCGCTTCCGACTCCGTTTGCAAACTCCCGTTCCCAGAGCTCGGCGGTCGCGTCTCTTCTTGCTGAGCCGCTATGGAGGCAGCCGGCCGCCGGGTGGGGCGGGAAATCCAAACCGCGGTTTCCAATGGCGCAGAGTCGAGCCTCCACACCGAGATTTTTCTGTTCCTATTTTAGCGCCAGGACTGTATTCCAAGTTGGATTCCCTCAGCCCAGTTTGTTCCCGAGTCAGCAGAGCACATCTCCACTGGTTCGTATCTCCTCAGTCCGCATCATTCCTGGCCTCTGAGCCGAGCCTTTAGAGAGCGTTCAGTAGCTGCTGTTGTCTGTCCGCCATGTTCTCTGGTCTCCCGAGCTTTACATTTTAAAAAAGCAACAAGGGCTAGAAATACAGCTCAGTGGTAGAGCACTTGCCTAGCTTCCACATGCCTGTGGGTTCCATTCCTTGTACCATGCAAACAAACAGCAATAACAATGAATCTCCCTGAGTCAAAAACAAACAAACAAACAAACAAACAAAAAAACAACCCAGTAACAAAGAGATTATATTCACTTATCTTCATGGAAGGAAAGACAAAAAATTTGAATTTGAAATTTTGATGTTAAGGAGTAAAATCAGGAAAATTTTAAAAAGAAAACTGAAAGAGTATTTTGAAAGATGAAGAAATGGATATGGCTCACCAGAAGAATAAGGAATCGGGGAAATGCAGTAAAAGCAAGTGTAAGTAATGGATGAACTA